TGAAAGAAAATGGCCCCCAAAGGGAGTGGCACTATCAGCAGCTGTGGCCTTATTGGAGGAAGTGTGTCACTGTGGAGATGGGCTTTGAGGTCCCATGTATGCTCAAACCACACCCAATAAGACAGACCACTTCCTGTTGCCTTTGGATCAAGATGTAAGGACTCTCAGCACTAACACCATGTCTGTCGGTATGCTGCCTTGATTCCCAGTATGATGATAATGGGTTAAACCTCTGAAATGTAGTCATGTCACCCCAGTTCAAGGCTTTCCTTTCTAAGAGTTGCTGTGGTCAGCTAAACACTGAGCCGAACTCCTGTGGTTACTCTCTCAGCCTAGACACACGGGGGTGGGCCTAGGCTCTGCTCCAAATTATATGACAGACTTTGAAGATCCCCCATAGAAGGCCTCACCCTCTCCGGGGAGCAGAAAGGGGATAGGATAGGGGGTAGGTGCAGGGCAGGGGAGGAGGGAACTGGGATTGACATGTAAAACAATCTTATTTCTAATTTAAATAAAAAATAAGAAAAAAAAGAGTTGCTGTGTTCATGGTGTCTCTTCACAGCAAGAAAAATCCTAACTGGGACAGTCATCCTTAAGAGACCTGCCAGCTCCTATGGCACCTTAGTTTACTGACTCTAGTAAATGGATGCTTCTGGAATGAATGAGAATCAGATGGATTACTAAGGTTTCCTGACACTGTTTATATGTTTTTAAAAGTTGGTGCCCATCTAATTCATGGGTGAGACTTTAGGATGCTCCAGCTCAAGAAACGCATCAATGCAGGGAAGATCTATGCAAGTGGAAGGCCCAGACAATGACCTAATGGCAGTTAGAAACTATGCTTTCTCCTTCAGAAGCAGATACTGGAGCTTAGGGCAAGAGGAGAGCACAGGCAAAGAGTTGAAGAAGCTAAAGCACTTCCCAAAAATGCAGCCTTCATTTCAGAATTAATTTCCGGGTATCAGCTGCTCACAAAGGCTAAGTATAGATATAACGTGTGACCTAGGTGAGGCCACCCTTGCTCTTCTTCATGAAGAGCAGAAGGAGCATTTACTTTTTAATATCATTCACCACTCATTCTCCTGGAGCTGAGTTATTCATCTGGCCAGATAGAGCTTCGTCTCATGAAGAGATGAGAAAGGCCCCATGTTTGCTGAAGTGAATAAATCCCTACCGCTCTAGCCACAGTTCAAATGGCAAGCCCAGCAATCTCCAAAACTCATGTTGAGGTTTTACTGCCACTGTGATGACAGGAGGAGTTGAGACCTTCAGTAGGCCATGTGGTGATGAAGGTAGAGCCTGCAGGAGCACTGCTGCTCATGCTACAGGAGTGTGCTAGTTATGGCTCAGTCTTTCCCACTTGCTCTCCTGCCCTCTGCTTTCTGTCATGGGATAACGCCGCAAGAGAAGCCATGGCAGATATACACATCACACTTTTGACCTCTGTATCTCTAGAACTTAAGTCAATTTCTGTAAGTTACCCAGTCACAGGTATTCTAGTACAGCAGCAAAAAGAGACTAAGGTTGGCTTGGGGGGAAAAGTCTTGGAACTTACATTGGTGTTGACTTTGTAGGCATCTTTAGCTGCTTTGATATGAACAGCATCTGGCTTGATGGTACAGTTAGATTTGTTTCTTTGGTAAACTTCCTTATATTTCAGCTGTGAGAGGAAACGGCGACAGGGTTAGTTTTTTTCCTAGGAAGTTAGCTAAACATTTTAAAAATGGAGAAACTAAAACTGTGATGGCAGCACTCGATGTTCCCTCTGAGAGTATTTTGTCAAACCCTGCCGCAGAGAGAAGATGCAGCTCTGAGGAGATGGACCTTCTTACTCATATCAGAACACACTGAGTGTGGTCAGCCGTGTGGCCACAGGGCTGGCATGGGCCAGAACAGTGAGCTGGCTGCTCTTCACGTGCCGTTTATCTTCCTGCATCAGGAAAGCCTGGTGCAGACATCCTGAAAACAGTCCTCTAGGAGGCTGTTAGGCCTGTCCTACTCCTGTGCACCTACTGTCCTTCCTGCTCTCTCTCACAGCATAGCTGTTTACTTGTCTAGCTCTCTGAACCTCTTCAGAACAAAGCTTCTGTACCAGTTCTTGTCTCCTACCTGGTGACCAGCACATAAAAAACTCAAAGGTCCTCTCATCACAGCTGCTGGTCTACAGCCGTACCTCATGAGTTTGGGTAACTGGACTGAATAGGGGAAGCCTAACAAGTAGTTCCTCTGTCTTGAGTCTGGAACTTCTAGCTCCCTTTACTTTTGTTTTCCCTGAATTTCATGTCCCTAGAATGCAATCTGGTCATTTTCACTTGTCAGGGAAGGATCCCAGGTGCCATATGATTAAGGTAGAGTGAACGTCTCAAAGACAAGGAACCGTGTAGGGCTTACATATTTACCACAAGAACCATTGCATTCTGGGCTTGTCTACAGACCTACTGCATTGATCAGGACTTCAGGAGGAAATCCTAGAAATTAGTACTTTCATCAGTGCCCAACCTCAGTATATTCTAATAAGCATTTGAGGAAATAGATAGAGAAATGCCTCAATTTTATGCAGGGAGCTCTCTTATCAGCTTGACCAGATGAGTACTTATGATCACATTGCAAAGATGCTCTGTAAACAGTTACACCTTCCCAACCAATGTACTGAATATTCAAGTATTTTTCATGGTGTCTCATAGGCAACAGTATGGCACATTTATTCATCTACCAGTGACCCCTGAGCACAGCAATAATCAAGGTTTTAGGATGGGGATTGGGTGCAGCTGCCTCAGCTCATACACACACACACACACACACACACACACACACACACACACACACACACATACATACATACGCACACATACATGCGTATATGTGCATATATGTGTGTGTATGTATGTATATGTTTGTGTGTGTGTGTGTGTGTGTGTGTGTGTGTGTGTGTGTGTGCGTGCACGCCCAGATGTGTACATAACCACAGAGTTATTTAAAATATTGAGTCTATGTGAGGCATGTTCGTCATGCTGCTTGGGGGGGCCCGAGGTAGGGGAATCACTGTGAGTTCAAGGCCAGGCTGGGCTAGAAAGTGAGCTCCAGGCCAGTCTGGGCTGCAGAAACTTAAACATTTTAAAAATAATAGTGCATCTTTTTTTTTTCAATGAAAATGATGGTGGTTTCCAATTAAAAACCAAAACAAAAATCTTGTTTTGGTTTGGCTTATTTTGAAACAGATCTTGATATGTAGCCCTCCCTGGCCTCAAACTAGCAAACCTCCTGTCTAGCTTCCCAAATGGTAGGATTATAGGCATGAACTTTCATGCCTACCTAAAGCCAAGTATTTGAAAATTTATGAATACAAATTCTCCTGAAATTCAGAGTGTGAGAACACGAGTTTGCTTTTCTTGGGGAAGATAAGGCTGATAGAGTGATTTTGGCACATGCATCACACTGTACTTTTATTTTCACAATGGTCTCAGTGACATCTCTTCCACATGCTGGCCTGCGACGTGGCTTTGCTGTGTGCTCATTCAGAGTTGGTGACCAAACTTGCTGTAGTTTGAATCTGGAATGTCCCTAAAGTCTCAGACACTAATGTCTTGGTCCCCAGCTGCAGGTGTTGCTGGGAGGTCATAGAAAGCGGCCTCACTTCCTACAGGATATACCACCTCCCAACAGCACTGTCTTCTGGTCCTCAGAGGGAATCGTGAGACCCCCAGCTCAGATCTCTTCCTCTTCTGTATCTCAGGCTTGAAGAGGTCAGTAATTTTGCTCTGTTGTGTACCTCTGCCATGAGGTGCAGCAGCTTCATCCAGGCCCAAGCAAAAGGGCCAATCAATCAGAGTGGAAATGCCCAACTGTGAGTCAAAATAAAACTTGCTTTTTCTAAGGGAATTTATCTCAGTGACAACAAGTGACCACATCTCTTGAATGTGTGTAAAAGACAGGGAGAGAATGACGTCTGAATCCTAGGAATAACTCTTGACTGACCCTGAAGTTTTAGCTCTCTGCCTCCTGGAGCCCAGACATTACACTTCTAGATGCCAAACCATGTGGAGAAGATGCACAGAAAGGGCCTCATTTATACAGAAGCCAAGTGACCATCAGCTGTCAGTTGTATGAGTGTGGCTTTTTGTGGAGTCAGCTTCACATGCTATCTGTGCTCATCTTGACCATAACTGCCATGACTGTCTCAGAGTCGCCTTGGTCACCCAGATCAGTCTTTCCTGCACTGCTTCCCAGCAAAAAATCATTGATTCTTGGATATTACTGTTTGTTTGTTGTTGTTTGTTTTTGTTTTTGAGACAGGTTGTTTCTGGCTGGTGCAGAACTCAGAGAGACCCGCCTACCTCTGCCTCTGGAGTACTGGGATTAAAGATGTGTGCCACCATGCCTGGCTGATATTACTATGATGAGCAGGCACATTCCTGGCTCTGGTGGAGTTGCCTTTGACCATTGACCTTACCAATATGTACACTTCTCTTTCTCTGACACAAATTGCAGGGATCTGCTTTGTCTTGCTGCCCTTGGCTAAGCTGTGCCACTACATTCCCTGTGATGGCACTTTGTAGCTCTGCATCTGTCTGCCCTTTTCCTTCACAGCGATGTGGTTCTCACACACAGCGATTGGGTCCTGGAAGACTCACCTTGAATTCTTGTGCTCCAGATGTCTGCCTACAGCATTTGGAACAGACCTATTTGCTGTGTCCAGCCAACTCACAGAATCATAAGGAAAATGGAGGATTATTATTTTAGGCTACTAGGTTGCCAATTTTTCCCATAGAGAGAGGTTGCCATCTGGGGTTTGCCACATCATATCGAAAGAGGGGCTAAAGAAGGTACTCACATCACTGACTTCATCTTTCACTTTGCGGACATGCAGCAGCATGGGTGTGTCATGGATGGTGGTGTAGCCTCTGGGTCTGGCCTTGTTGTATTCCAGTTTGTAAAGTATCTGAAGCAGACAGAGAAGCAGGAAGGTACAATGCTATGTTTCTCCACTTACAATTTAAACTACAAATGGAAAAGTGAACAGGAAGGAAAGGCAAGTCTATATACTCCATAGATGATCATAGCTGTCTGTTAGGGCCTCTGATGTTCTATTGGCATGTCTGCCAATTGGAATGACAAGGCTTCAGTGTGAAAGAAGGGCCCCATGTGCAGCGGCATGCAGCACCCTTGCCTCCCTCCCAGTCTCTCAGACACCTGACAGTCTACAGTGCCCCCCACTTGGGCAAACGCCCCTGACTCTCTGAATGCAGGCTCTTCAGTTCTGTACTTACATCACTGATTTGCTTGTTGACTTTTGTGGTGCGCAGGTGCTCTGGAGTGTCCACAACTGAGGTGAATTTGTCCTTTGACTTTTCATATTTTTTCCTGTATTTGATCTATATCATGGAAGAAAGGACAGTTACTTTCAAGAACAAAGGCCTTAAAGAAATCTCATGAGACACCAGAGTGGGTGCTGGCATCATGGTGGATTCTGCTTTAAATCCTTTAATAAAGCTTGTATTTGTCTGCTCTACCACACTATTGCTATCAGATAGTTTCCAATATACTTCATCCACACGGAAGTGAACAGGCTCTCAGAGGCTAGGAGACTGAGCCAAGGGCATGTGTGGAGTACATCTCAGAGGAGGAGTAGAACCTTCTCTGGACTGACACCCTAACATTCTATATTACATTGTTGTTTTCCATGCCCAACTGAAGCAGATGTTCATTATAGTGAGTGTATATGATTTTTAAAGGATTTTAATTAATTAATCTATTCTTCTCTACACAACACATCCCTACCACAGCCTTCCCTCCCTCCACTCCCTCCATTCTCCCCCACCTCCCCTTTCCCCAAGATCCAAAATGCATTTATTTTTGTAATTTACAAGACATGTTTTTTTTTGTTTGTTTTTTTCATGCACATAAGCTGTTTTAAGCAAGACAGATACGGAGAACAATGAACTTTCATGCACATAGTTTTGATGATCCCATCAAGACCAAGGATGTTTATGGTGAAAACATATTCTCTTTTTTTTAATATGTTGATTTGACCAACAAACTAAAATGACAAGCAAGCTGATAATGCAAAAGATTGGCTAAAGCCTTTTCGGTTTGGGCCTAGAGACAAGCATTTCATGAATGTTCTCACTGGTAAACAGCGATTACCACATTTCTCTTCCAGCATCTCTGGAAAGGTGGCAGCATGATCAGCAGACCTTGTTGGACGACAGTATTATCAACATGAATATGGACAAGGTCCAGAGGTGGCAGGGTCCAGAGCTAGCCTCAGCTCTCTGAAGCAGTGCAGCTGCAGTGAGAACTGAGCAATGGTAATTCGAAGAAAACATTAAATATCTAGACCTTCAAAAGCTATCTACTAAGCACCCCTGATTTCTAAGGAATCTGTCTCTTGAAGCAAACACTAAAAAGTTAGTGTTGTACTAATTCAAAAGAAAAATGTGTGAAGGAATCTCAGCTGATCCTGGAGGGTTTCTAAGCATTGGATGGTAGATGATGGCTCCCCAGTATACCAGGCCATGGTCAGATTGCATTTCTAGGGGATGAATATTCATATAGTTTACCATGAGAAAGCAGCATGGGCAGGGACCAGGAGAGGAAGCCAATGAAAGCATAAGAAAGAATGCATGGAAGGTCTAACCCCCACCCGTTGGACATTACCTGGCTCCACATGTGTGTATTGTAGAGAGCAGTCAACATATCTGGCCGCAGAATTTCATTACATCCTTGTTTCAGAAGCATCTTGGCACTAGACTTATATTTTCTCTGTCCATGCAAAGAGCAGTGAAGCACAAAAGAGACTTGTGAAGACAGAAAGAACATGGCTCTATATCCCAGTCACCTCTGAGTGAAGAGATGTAGGCTTAACATGCTTTGTGTACTCACAGAGCTGTGCAGTGAAGACCCCTATGTGTAACGCAAGCAGAGTGGCTCAAATATTTATCCTTGACTATCCATAGTCCTTGCCAATGGGGAGGACAAAGGTAGCAACATGTACATTACCACCCAGACTGCCTTATGGGGATGACATCATCAGAACAGTAAAATATAGCAGGGATTTGTCTTTTTGTTTTTACAACTCAATTTGCAGTTCACAGCCGCTGTTTACAAACAGGCTCCACAGGAGAATAAAAAGGGAGGGCCCCAGCTTCTATTTTCATCTTCACCACAGCACAAGTGAGGACACAGAGCGTTGACTGGCACACTCAAATAGCTCACAGGCTCTTTGGGTGGCTAGACAGATGTTTTGAAACAGAACAGTCCAATATCATAGGCAGAACCTATGACATCCTTGCAGCAGACAGGACGACACCTTGGGAGAAATCGGAGCACAGTCCTGCTTGGGCTGTGCTGCCAGCCTCGTCACAGTACCTGGCTGATCTGGTCGCCTGCGGTCTTAGCCACCAGATGTCTAGGCTCATCCACTACCAGGTGGTATTTATCTTTCCGCTGCTCATAATCAGCTCTGTATTTTTTCTGCTCAAACATCATATTAAATTATAGCAAGAATATGACAGCAAGGGTACACAGTCATATCTCAATCTAAACTCTCCAGAGAGGTAGAAACCTGTCATTTTTAGCACTGGGTCAGTCTCCCAGGTCAATGTTTAACTGTTCATACAGGGAGTAGGAAAGACAGGTGAAAACAGATTGCATGGAGAGAGGCTGGAGCCTGGGAGAGAGCAACCTCTGAAACAAACTGGGGTACCTTATGCCCAAAGATTTCCAACTTTTCATATGACATGTGATTAACGTCAGGTTTCCTGGCATCATACATTGTATTTAAAATGAGGTGCTGCTAATCTATGCTTTTAACACGCAAGGCAGCAAGAATCCAAAAGTATAACAAATGCGACACAAAATTATCACTAACTATGCTAACCCCAAAGTGTCACCAAGTACAAATACTCAAGCCCAGTTGCTACCATTGTGTAGTACTGATTTACTTGATGGTTTAAAAGACACTTGGAAATGCTTTATGGACTAGGAAAACCAAAATACATCAAAGACTGTCCTAGGAAGCTGCTGATGGTACTTCTTCAGAGTTTCCCAGCCTGGAAATGTGTTGAAATGAAAAAGATTAAACAAAAATAATTGAAATTGACAATGGTCATACATGTAAATGTACAACAGTCATATATGTAAATGTACAATGGTCATCTATGTAAATATACTACTGGCTGCATTCTCATTGGTAGCTCTTTCACTAATTATTTAACATATTTGAACGTATGCAAATTGCACGGATCATCTGAAAGCAGAAAAGTATAATTTTAGTTATGAAAGTATCTAAACTTTGTAAAATTCCCTAAATGGAACTCACAGCTTGCTTATTTCAATGTTCTTGAATTGTATTCAAATTACATCACTGCAAAAATGGCTGTAGGGAAGAGTGAGTTGGCTATAAAGGGGGTGTAATACTACTACTGTGCATTCAATTCTATGGGAGTCACAATAAAACATTTGAATGCACGAGATTCATACAACTATCTCCACTGCAGAGGTCAGGGGTTCTAACCACTTCCATTTTAGTGCCTTTGTGGGACTGTTGAATCAACCTTGAACTTCTAGGTCTCCCACTCTACACTCTTTAAAGGCATTTAGCTGATAGTCCACAAAATCCTTCCTTTCTCTGACACCACAGGACTGTGCTGAAGAGGTGAAGGTAGGCGTCGACTGAGTCAAGGTTTTGATAGTGCCTACCAGATAGTGACATTATATGGTCTTTGCAAGTCCTTATAAGGAATGAACATTTAGGACAGATTTCCTGTCATGCTGTATATTAGATTTTAATGAAATAGCCCTGCAGAGTTCTCAAGAGAACTGAATAGTCTTAGTCAACTTAATTGTACATACCTCATTCATCAATTGAGTTGCATATTTGAAATGCCTGTTAATTGGACAATCAGCAACATACTTGAAATTTGACTTCGTTCTTTCAAATACTTCTTTATACTTATACTGGGGAAAAAGAACATAATTATTTGATTGTGTGTCCAATCTTAAGGATGAATCATGATATTGATCTTATTATAATAATGCATTTATAGAGCTAACATCTTTCTACAAATTAAGAATTTTTTTTACAATTTTAAACAATTATAACAGAAAATAGGTGCTATAATAAATGTGACCTGCCATGTCTATTGTAAAATGTCTACTGTCTGGCACCTATCAGAAGTTGCCTGATTCTTATTTTATATTAAAAGCAAGTTCAACTGCTTTATTTTGTAAATAGGAAAATGAGGCCCTAAAAACTTGATTTACATCATGCATCACATTGTTTGTAGATAAAAACAGCCACACCTGATATTTGCTGCTTTAGCTGGGTGAATCATCCACATACATTAATGAGAGGGAATTCAGGAGTAGGTATGGGTAGTTGTACTAGATATTTTCATCAAATTCAAATAAGCTACAGTTAATGAGGTTAGCACAAAAGAAATTTCTAGCCAGGCATGACTGCACATGCCTTTAATTCTAGCACTTGGGGAGGCAGAGCCAACCAGAGCTCTGTGAGTTCAAGGCCAACCTATTCAATACATAATGAGTTCTAGGCCAGTCAGGCTACATAGTAAGACCCTGTTGAAAAACAAAATGAAACAAAATTGAAAGTCTCTAAAGAGAGTGAATAGTTCAGCATGGGCTTAGTTTCATGCTGTAGAAGTGAGGACGGGGCTAAAGCTAAAAGAGGCTGTTCCCACAGACTTCCTCTCTGTGGACTGGGGTTTGTATTTAATGGATTAAGCCATTCTCCTTGAGGAGACAGGTATACCTTGCTGTAGAGAGTCTTGTTCTGTTCAGCTAGTGTCAAGTCAGGGGTATCATAGGCATAGCAGCCAATGCCTTTGAGCCAGGTCAAATCTTCTTTATATTTTACCTGAGAGAAGAATACCAGAGAGTTGTAATAATTCATCTCCAAGTGGATATAGGTTAGGAGCTATCCAAGTGAATAAATCAGAAACTCTGATTCCCAAAGTATGTCAAATAATGAAGATTTAAAATAGCCTGTATCATTTAAGTACACGCCTAGAATTACTGATTTCTTCCTATGATTTGTTTTGTAATGCTTAGACGTTTTCACTTTTACTATTAATTAAAACCAACTTTAGCCAGGATACTTTTGTAGAGAGACTATCACTGGCTTGGCAGTTATACTTTCACACAGACAGGTGAAACTTCTTACTAAATGGGCATTGCTTTCTGTAACAGTCTCTTCAAAGAATCCAAGATAGGCATGAACTATAGGGCTTTGAGTTATAGAGGAAAACTTAGGGTGACAAACTTGAATATAATTTTTCCTCTCCCAAGTTCAGTTTTACTTACTTAGTAATTGATTTTTATGACTTAAATAACCACCACAAGATCTAGAGTCTATGGAATCGGGGCCAAGTAGATAGCTCAGTAGGTAAAGGTACATGCCACAAAATTTGATCTTCAGAACCCTAATAGATAGCATGAGAGAACACACTCCCACAAGTTGTTCTTTGACCACAACACAATCACTATATCTCATGTACCATGGCATGTGACACCTACTCTCCACTCCTGAAAAAAGTGTAATTGTAATCACCGGTTTTAATGCAATGGTTGACTTCACAGCTCACATAGAAATATGGATTTCTATGTGAAAACTGAAGGTGATACTCACATCACTGATGGCATCGGTGACTGCCCGGTGGTGGAAATGTTCAGGGCGATCAGGAATGGAACTCCAGATTCCCAGCTGGCTCATGTAGTTCTCCTTGTATTTCACCTGTTGTAAAAATGTAAAGACAGCTATAATGTTGACTCAAAGTTAATGTAAAGCACATCTCTCTGGAGTTTTAGAAAAAGGAGTCTTCTTTAAGAAAAAAAATGGTGGTAGGTTCCAGAGCCCATTTGAAGTAGTCCAGGGACATACTTTACTGATGTCGTCTGTGACTTTGCGATGATACACAATGTCCAGGGCATCCTTCACAGTGTGATACTTCCCTTTAGTCTTTTGAAATGTCTCTTTGTAGCGAAGCTGTTAAAGAGAGAAGAATGCAGTACCGATCATGAAGATTACCAAGTTAAATTCACTTCTGCTAAGCTCTAGCTCTTGAGTTTGTCTCTTAGATTTTCCCCATGAATAAATTTAGGGAAAAGTTTGAAAGGTCATTCCAGATGATGGAACAGAAAAAGACATGAGGGAAAACTTCATAATCCAAAAAATACATGTCTAAGTAAATTAGTTACTAAGTATCTCTAGGGTGCCCCCAAAAATCATAAGGAAGGGTCATATTGTTGCCCAGGAGATAACTAATAGCTTGTAGCATCTCAACACAGTTCGTAGCTACTTGGCTGGATTGGCACTGTGTGAGTATGTGTTCTTTCCTGATCCATGTTGTGGGAAATGAATTTCAGCTATGGCTGTGACAGAACAGTTTGTGCTGCTAGATATCCACAGCTTTCCCTGTCACAGCAGGAGAAAGAAGGAAGGAATGCTCACATCACTGGCGTTCCAGTAAGCCCTCTTGGCTCTGATGAGGATTGGCGTATCTGCAACTGGTGTGTACTTGTCCTTCATCTTCTCGTATTGAATCTTGTACTTTTTCTAAGTTACAAAAATAGAGAAAGACAAACACAAGTTCAAATGTTATTAAAATTATTGTGGTGTGTGTGTGTGTGGGTGTGTGTGTGTGTGTGTGTGTGTGTGTGTGTGTGTGTGTGATATGCATAGAAGTCTGAGGATGACTTTGTGGAGTTGGTTCTCCTTCCAGTTTTGTGTGGGCTATGGTCCTTAAACTCAGGCTATCAGGTTTGTATTGCAAGCACTTACCTGCAGAGCCATGGCACCAGCCCAAGCTGTGTTTTAACCCTCTCCAGTTTACACTCTAACCACAGATCCAAGGGAAAGGCACAATGTGCCATGGCGCCAGCCCAAGCTGTGTTTTAACCCTCTCCAGTTTACACTCTTACCACAGATCCAAGGGATCTCATTCATAGAGTACAGCTTCTATGTTTGGGTGAGCTGAGCACACTTTGTAGTGATAAAATTCTCATCAGAAATAGCAGGTGAAGGCTTTGGAAGTATTTCTTAGTTAACAGGTATATTGGTGTGGGATCCCATCTTACCTCGCTGACCATGTCTTTCACATCTTTTGCATGTTGCAAGGCTGTGGTCTGGTTTCCAGCATGGTGATGGGGTCTCTCTTTAGTGGCAAGCTCAACATAGAGATACTGAGAATGAGAGAGCAGGGAAGGAGTCAGAGGTGAAACTTCATCTGTCCTCTTAAATTTGAGTCTCTCTCTCTCTGTCTATCTCTGTCTCTGTCTCTCTCTCTCTCTCTCTGTATGTATGTGTGTGGTTGGTTGCTTGAAGTTGTTGTTGGAGCATGTGTTTGTAAATTTGTTTCTCAGTATGTGACATTTGAAAACACCTATCTACAAATCAGTTGTCTAACAGTCCTTCTGTTGGGTGTGGTCCAGTGTAAAGTCATGTGATAAAGAATGCTAAGAGAAGATTGGGCGGATTCTGAAAGATCATTCAGCATTCTTTCTCCCTAGTTTTCCTTGCATGCGTGACAGAGTTTCGTTTGTCTGTTGATAACAGACACATTCTTGAAATGATCAGTCACTTTTTTTTTATTATTCCTTAGAACTCATGACCACTCATCTGAGGACAAAGTTATACAGCCCTTAGCAAAGAAGATATGGCATCTTTTGCCTGTGAAATCTTACTATAATTATGATAGTCTTGAAGAAAACTGCAATGTGGACACAGGCTGCAGCAAGGACAACCAATTATGGTGTGGTGATATCTTATTGTGGCTTTAATAAATGTTCTTTAATTATTGCTTATATTGAGCATATTTCAGTATGACTCTGTCATCTGTCCTTTTTACTGAAGTGTCTTGTTTAAATCTTGTACTTTTGAAAAGAGTATTTTTAAGTTCTTTATTGTCTTAGTCATTTTTTAAAATATACCACAGGCTAGATAATTTATAAACAGTTGGAAGTTTATAGCATCAGAGTCTAGACCAGTGGTTCTCAACCTTCCTAATGCTTCGACCTTTTAATACAGTTCCTCATGTTGTCCTGACCTCCAATCAGAAAATTATTTTCATTGCTAGTTTATAACTGTAATTTTGCTACTTCTATGAATTGTAATGTAAATGTCTGTGTTTTCTGATGGTCTTAGGTGAACCCTGTGAAAGGGTTGTCTGACCTCAAGCTGAGAACCAGTGCTCTAAACTGGTGGTTTATGATTATTTGCTTCTAGAACCTTTCTTCCCTTGCCCCCATGGCATCACCACAGCAGATATTATCAAGCCTTCCAACAGCTGATATTACCCTGTTGTTATATTCTTGGTATACTCAAGACAGAAAAACTTGAGTTAACTTTAGTTTGCAGACAATTGTTTAGGGCAAAGTCTTTCTAAACTGTAAGATCATGTCAAGCCTCTCATTTGCCTTAGTTGTAGAAGGAGAAATATTAATGTCCTTTTAACAAAAAGAGAAAAATAAATTAGTTGAGCCAACTGATTTACAGAGACATTGGGTCACTCTGCAGTCAAAGGAAGAAGGGACATCTTTTCCTGTCATCACTGAATATTGATCATCATAGACAGGAACTAAGAATCTTCTGAGTAGCTCAGTCCAGCTGGTCTGTTTACCCTTTGTGACAGATAATATATTCTTACCTCACTCAGATGGGTCTTCAGTTCCTGCACTTTTCTGTATTCTGGGGTATCAAGCACCACTTTGTATTTGTCTCGCATCTTCCTGGCATTATCAGTGTACAGGTAATTTGACTTAGGAGAAGAAAGCCAGAAACACAAGTTGATTAGTCATTAAGGGACTGCATGTCACATCTTTCAAAGGCTGGCATATGCAAACTGAGCAGGCTCTAAATGTGTCCTGGAATACTAAGGGTCTAATTATGTCTATCCTATGTTTTTCTCCACATGGTCTTCCTAGGCAAGAACAGAAACAACTGTCATTTCATTACCTTTATAGCAGGCATTGATCATCATAAGTAAATCATGTCCTACTTAAGTGGGTTGATGGCAAAATTTCTCCTTAAGAGTAGATGTAGGCTAAGATTCATTTTTCCTGTTCCTCACTGTCCTGGGGGGTGGGGCGGCGGAAGTTAGCAACGGGCTGCATGATAGTTGTGTGGGGAAGCTGTGTATTATGAAGGTGTATCCTCACCCAGAGTTTCCTTAGGTGCCTGGAGCGGACCATATCAGGAGTGTCATACAGGAAGCAGCCAAGTCCCTTCAAGATCTGCAAGTCCTCTTTGTATTTAATCTGTGGGGCAAACATAGACAGCTGGTTATGAGCCAATGTAAAAACAGGACAGCTACACTTCTTTGTCGGTACACAGTAGCTCTCCTTATCACAGTTTTGCATTCTGTGGCTTCAGTTTTCTATTGTTAACTGTAATGAAAAAATATGAAATGGAATATTCCAGAAAAAAGTTTTTACATTTTAAATATCTTTTATCTTAGTTTATTGTTATGATTGTTCTACTGTATTATTAGTTGTTAAGCTTAATATCTTAACCTAATTCACAAATTAAACTTTATCCAGGGTATGTATTAATGTAGGTATAGTCATGGTTTGGTACTGTCCATGGTTTGATGCATCCATGGGGGGCAGTCTATGGAAGGTGTCCTCCACAAGTAAGGGGAGAAGCATAGTTTTCATGTATATCTTATGATCTTACTCTGCCTGCATTCAAACCAAAGTTAAATCTCTAACCCTGAGCTGAGGGGAGGACACTAATATTGTGTTATCCAGTCAAGGGAAAAAATTCACAATTCAAGGGGTTAGTCCACCAGGAAAAGGAGACATCGAGGAGTCTTTCTTCTCTTTTTAATGGCAATATGAAGATGCTAGGAGGGATTGCCACCAGGACCAGGAGGAGCAGGTAATCTAATATGACCTAGGATGCAGGGCACTTGAACTGTAGGGATTGGCAAAGATCTTATGCTGATGTACACTGGCTGTCACTGAATGAGCAAGCATGGCATCTCTGATCCTCCACAGATTTCCTCATGACTCTGCCTGTGGCTGGAGAACTGTAGGAGTCTCCTCACAATTTCACCTCCAAATTGTACATTTGCTTAAGAAATAAGCAATGGAAAAAGGCTTTTCAATGCCCACTGAGTGTCTTAAATGCTAAAAGCAAGGCTACTCCTTGGTAGGACTCCTTTAGAAAGAGCTTGCAAATGCTTACGTCACTGGTGATGTCTCCCACGTAGCGACAGTGCAACACTTGGGGTGTGTATGGCAGTGAGATCATGTGGCCCTGCATCTTGAAGAAGTCTGATTTGTAGATCAACTAAAGGAAAAGTAAAGAACAGAAACTCACATTAGAGAGCAAATGGGCAGTGTTTCTCCCTGGGTGATGGCCTGTCTACTCCTCAACATCTCTCCCTGGGCGATGGTCCGTCTGTCCCCATCATTCTCACCTCACTGACGGCTTCCTGTGTCTTCTTGACTTGGCGGATCTCAGGTGTGTCTGGAGTTGTGTGTATCTTGTCTTTTAGTTTATGATACAATTCTCGATACAGTCTCTGCAGGGAAGGTGAAGCCATTTTGGCATTTAGGGTGGGAACACAAGGGCATCTACTGACAAACAATTGAATACTTTATACAAAGAATCAAGAGAGGAAATTCTGGGACAATAACATGATTTAAAGTTAGAGTAAGAGAAAAATGCTTATTTCATTTCAGTGAAGACTTCTAAGTGCAAAGTAGTCTATATTCCATGAAATGGTTGCTCAGCTGTACAAATACAGGTGTCAAAAATCAGGGCTATAAGTCAGACAAAAAGGTAATCTACTGAAAGGTTTAGCACAAATATCAAAATGAATTATTTCTTTAGAAAAACAATTTTATCATAGTCTATGGAACCAAGTCTCTGTGATGATTTACAAGAGACACAAGGCTCAAAATAGGCCCTCACACTGTCTCACAGTCCATAAACTTACAGATGAAACACCAGGAATTCTTAATGCATTTCAAATAATGCCATGATTTTGAATTCAATATTTTTTCACTGTCTCACAGTCCATAAACTTACAGATGAAACACCAGGAATTCTTAATGCCATGATTTTGAATTCAATATTTTTTCAGAGAGAATGAATGTTCATGGTACCTCACTAGTAACGTTGTTGACTCTCCGGACATGAACAAATGGGACATCCTTGGGTCCAAGTGTGTACCCATTTGCCTTGATGTGTTCATAGGCTTCTTTGTATTTGAACTGTGAAAGCAAAAATCAGACTGAGATTTGTGATGGCTACACAAAGAGCTGTGCTGTTTTTCTCAATTAGAGAAGAGACTTGCATGGCATATGCTTTTACTCTCTGAGATATCTTACTGGCCTCAATGACACAATTTTAGTATCAGTTGAATGATAAAGGCATGTCTGGAAAGGTAAAGATTTACCCTTACCAGGTGAAATCTATTTTCAGGCAGTGAGGCAAAACATAAGAAAAATCTATCATTTTAGTTTCAAAGTATCTTGAAAATTAGGAAATATAAAAAGCACCAAGATGATTTTTTTAAATATTGATGAATGACTTTTATTCTGATTTCTAAAAGTAACAGGTTTGATTCTTAAATCTGTTTATGTCTGCGTTGGAAGTGCATTATTGGGCCATATTGGGTCATATTGGCACTGTGTTGTCAGCACAGTTGATTCCCAGGACTCTGAAGATGAGCGTTAATGAGAGAGAGAGCTGAATCTTGGTCTCCAGCCAATGGCTGGCTCATGGTATAGCCTATAGACTACATGTCTAAGGCTGTATGCTGGGAATTCAGAGCCCAGCAAAGGGAAGTGCCTCTTCTAGTGACAAGTTACAAGCAGCGGAGTCTAGATAGCCTTTGGCAGCCCATAAACTGAGTACAGATGTAAAAAGCAAGTAGGAGTCAGGTTCGGGAGCTTGGTAAGAAGTGTCTTCAAAGAGACATATAGTGACATCTCCTGAGTAAACTTTACATTCCCAGTAAATGATGTAGGGAGAGCTTGGGATGCTTCTAGTCCAAGGCCAGCTGAAACAGAGACATCTTGACAGTACTGCACCCTCAGCCAAGGTGCCCATGATATCCTGTTCTAACTCACCATCCCAGGCAGGCACCACCAACTGTAGAAGTGCCGCCGGTGCCATCACACCCCCAGTAAACACGCTGTCTATCCCCTCCCTTTCCATCATCTTGTTGAGCCTTCCGGGTATAATTCGAGCATGGGAATAGACTACTAATATTAGTTTCTTGGCATTCAAATTTAAGACCCCAACAGAATGAAGAATACTCACATAGCTGCTCATGTAGCGGGTGTCCTTGGTGTGATTGAAGTGAGGGGTATCGACCGGGAGCCTGTACCCAGTGGGCAGGAAGCGCAGGCCTTTCTTGTACAAATTCTGCCCAAATGAAAAAGAGCAAGGAAAATGTCTCTTAGTATCAAATAACAGCTAATTAAACACATCACATGCAGTTTGTTAGATTTTTGGTTAGGCACAGGAAAGGGAGATGACGGGTAGGGCCCAGGTTCTTCCTCTTAACATTCAGTGATTTCTACCTTCATCCCTTACTGCTGGAGCCTTTTATAATCAAATGCCTAAACTCTGTCATTGTGATCTTAAGGTTTTTAGGAGTAGTGAGGGCATACCAGCTCTCTTCTTTCTGACTTGCAAGTATTGGTCAACAACATGCCAATTTATTATCTGTTTGACTGCTTGACAGGAGGATCCCATTAGTCAAGAAGGGAGGCAAGGCATGCTATTTATTGTTTCCAGCTCACTGAGTGGAACAGCATTGTTGTTTGTTTTCCTAACTCACTGAGTGGAACAGTGAGTACCTCACAAGATCAATGAGGATACATACATAAGCCAACATGCATCTGGGGGCCTGGGGCCTGGGTTTCTGCTGATATTCCCTTTCCCAACACCTACCTCGCTCTGAAGCTTGTATGCATGGAGGGCCCGGTCCAGATCCACGGTTTTTGTAGTTGGGGCCACTTTGCCTCTGACACTGTGCACATAGTCATAGTGGTAGACAGCCTGGGTATAGAGAAGTAAAGTGAGTTGAGTCAGACTGTGAGAGTGTTGTTAGAAAGAAACAGAGCAAATGGAATCCATTATCTATTTAAAGACTTTGAAAGGGTGAATCTGGCTTCCTTCGTTCAGGGTTATAAATACATACCTCTGCCCCTGCCATCACCACTTGGAGCCTATCTGGTGGCACTATTTTGGAAATTGAAACTTAGCTAGAGTAAGTCGGTCAGTGGGGACAGATTCTTGCCACAGGCCTGCTTCCCCACCCCTGTCTTTCCTTCCTGTCTACCACAAGGTGGAGAACTTGCCTTCACCATTTGTTCCTACCACCATCGTATCTGCCCAAGTACATAGGGCCAAGAAATCATGGAATGAACTCTCTAAAACTGAAAGACAAATTAAATAGTTCTTCCCATTGTTTCTGTGAGAGATCTGTCACAACAAAAGAAGAGGAACGAATGTACCTAGAGACCTCTGCTGTGTTACTGTGGGTGGCATGTCCCAGGTGTCAGGAACAGGGATGTACATCTCCCCTCCAGAAGTTCGAGATAACAGGTATGAACTTGTTTACTTGCTACCTGTGCACTTAATTGAACAAAGACAGCTTGGTGGCTCTCTGCCTACTCTCAGGCATGACAGGGAATATGTACATGACACATTTTACACATGAAGATGCTGAGCCTCTGAGGAGTTATGTGCTTTTCCCAGGCTTATAGTATGTGGTAGAGGTAAGACTCCAACCCACATCCTGAACATCACAGCCAACTTCCTTCTAATTTGTCACTTGTCTCTAATTACTAGAAGGCCTAGACAGGGAGACAGACATAAATGCCTCTCATGACACACAGTATAGCATAAAAAGTACCACTGGATACTCTAACTGCAAAACATTTCACAAACTCAGCTCACTCAAACTTCACTCCTGCAAACTACAGGCACTTCAGATGTTAGGGAAAGTGGGCTTTGCAAGCAGCTTCCAAGGCACCAAGTCTAGTCCCCAGTTAGGAAAGGCTGGCACTGCCCAGTCTATGGTTGAGCTGTGTCCCATCTTCATTGCTACCCACAGTCACTTCCCCAGGGAGGGCTTACATCACTGAGCTGCTTCCCACTCTTGACAGCCTGAACGTAGACCGGTGTGTCAGTCACCAGCTTGTAGTCATTCCTTGTCTTCTGCACATGCGCTTTATACTTGATCTGCCAAGAAGAAGCAGGCAAGCCTATGCTGGAACATGTATTGCACCAGATACTGCAAGGTTTTATGGAGGTCTTGAGAGTCACACCCATCAACAACATGCAGAGGATGGATTTGAATTTTATAACAGGTCACACTATCAGTGTTTAAATCATGGGGATTCTAGAGTTAGCTAGAAGGTGTGATGGCTGCTCTCCTTGGAAATCTCTTGCTGAAATCCTCATTTTCATATTACTTCGTGTGGCAAATTTCCCTGTACCTTATAAATAAATCCCATCCATTATTCTAAAAGATGAGTTTTTCATATAATAAAAATTATGTGCTCATTAATATATTCAAAATAGTTTAAAAGATGGAGAGGAATGCTTGGAGTCACTTCTCTGCAGAGGAGCATGGCACAGCTATATTCGGTTGCTTGATAGAAATGCTAAATGCATTGCTGAGAAAGGACTATGTTTTTAGCGTCTTTCTCCAGCTCAGCCATCTTCAACAGACTTAATTCACAACTAGGCCATGGTGCTATTCTCATTTTAAACATTCTTTCCTTAATGCTACATTGTGTAGAGGTGTGCATATACCAACAAACCAAACAAGGACACTCACATCGTTGCGTAGATCATAAGCATGTTTTGCATGAAGAATTTCAGGAGTGTCCCAGACATAGCAACCGATGCCTTTCAGCCAGGTGAGGTCATCCTTGTACACAATCTAGAGGGGTTTCAGTAGATGTAGGGGATCAGAAAAACATATCTGTCCATTCCTTTAATAGCAAAGAATGGGCATACTCTAAACCTACATGACACTGGGAGGGAATGAAAAGTAAAAGTTACTGGGCAGTAAGGCCAAGAGGCCACAGAGAGCTGCACATCCCTGCTTCCAGGGATGGCTCCAAAATCCCTCAGACCCAGGGCCAGAAAAGCAAGGGGCAAATGTGGATATGCAGATGAGCTTCTCATCAGGATGGGAATGGGAGGATGGTGGGGCAGCTATAGGCTTACATCACTGATCTGGTCTGTTACTTTTCTGACGTGGCTGTTGACTTGTAAGTCGGGGTGGCAAATCCATTCATGGAGGTGCAGGCGGTAGTCGATCTCACTGACTTTCTTCTGAGAATCCTTGGCAGTCACCATCTCCACCATGTCAGGCACAATGTGGATTTTCATCTTGTTCTTTTCATACACTGATCTGTACAGGCGCTGTGAAAGTCAAGTTCCATTACCAGGAATACTGCCATATCGTCATGGAATGTCTGTCTTCTCCAGCTCATAGCAAGCAGTGGGGATGGAGGCTGGAATTTTCTTGCGTTTTGTACAGATTAACACCAGGGTATTTTTAAAGGATCTATTTTTATTTTTATGTATGTGTCTGTGTGAGTGTATGAGTGAGTGTATGTCACGTGCATGTGGGGCCCCTGGAGCTGGAGTTCCAGGCAGTTGTGAGTTGCCTGACATGGGTTCTGAGAACTAAACTTGGGTCCTCTCTAAGAGCAGCAAGTAGTCTTATCTCTGATCCATCTTATGTCTCCAACCTCCAGAACTGTTTTCTAAAGCACCACGGGATGAGATAATACTTAGCTTCTTCCTATATGTACAACCACTGCCACGTGCCTGGTTTCATAGTGAGCCCTGTTTGGTAACATATGACCTTCAGCTCCTGTTTTCCTTAAAACCTTGGTGGGTACTCACATCAATGTTAAGCTTGCCCACTCGGAGACACCGTGCGGTGTTTGGATCATCTTCAACACTCTTCGGTAATGTGTAAAGTGCTTTGAATTTTTCATATTCTTCTCGGTATTTGATCTACAGAGAACAAGTAGAAAAGCTAAAACATGAGGAGTAAAGACTTACTGTTTAAGACAATGGAATGGTCCTACCTCCAAGATCCAGATAGTGTGGGATAGGGTGGGAGGCTGGACCACTTCCCAGTGTTCACTTCCGTACCGATATAGAGACATTAGAGCCCACACAGGGCCAGTGTGAGGCTGCAATGGGGCCATATCTGAAAGTACTTTTGAACTGGACAATGCAATAAAATTGTATTCTTTTAAAGTGCCCATCTCAAATACTGCTGCCACAACACTTTATTTTTAGGATTACACGTTAGTTGGTTAAAATGTTTGTAATGATGAGGATCAAAACTGGGGCCCTGAACATACTAGGCAAGCAGTATTACCACTGAGCCACACCCCCAGCTTGTGGTGATTGTTAAATAATCTCTTATTGATGTAGCTTTATCTTTCTTGCTGTCCTGTGTGAAAAGTTCAGACTATGCTTGCTTGGAATCTTTGTTGTCAAGAAATGTAATGGCTTGTGGTTGAGAGTGATAATTCTTGATTTTCGGTTTCTCCAATTATTTCAAAAGGTAGCAATCCAGCCTTTAGTTTTTAGTCTGAACTACCTATCAATCAATACCCTGTGACGCCCTGAGCTAGGAATGAGGCAAAGGTATGAGGCAGCTTCTTAGGACACAGGTGCAACACACAGGCTCTCAGGACCCAGATAGCCACTCTCAGAGGAAATGGAGAGCTGCTTCATCAACTAGAAGCCAAACAGGATTCCCACCAGAATGCCCCAGAACACAATATTCCAGTCTCTTAGAGCTGACCCACCCCTCAGCTATGAAAAGTTAGCCTTCTCTCCCTTTTCCCCTTAAAATTATTTCTAACTAAAGTTGGGATCTTTAATTTTCCTATGCCCCCCCCACTCCAACAATATTTTGCCAAGCATCTGCAACAGAAGAAGAGGCACCCCCCACCCCCCGGGCTCTGTAAAGTGTATTCACAAATCCAAATGAGAGACATGGTCCTTGGTCCCAACTGGTAATAGTGTGATAACTACTTACAATTACCACACTCAACCAGCATAGCTTTGTACTGATCTCACCTAATTCTATTGAAACTGCCTATTTTTGACTTTGTTTTCTGAGGCAGGGTCTTCCTCTGTAGTCCAGGTGAACTGAAACCCACTATGTAGGCTGGACTGGCCTTGAACTCAAGCAATCTTCTTGTCATAGTCTCACTAATGCTGGACTTATAGTTGTGACCCACCAGACCTTGCTGGCAACTCCCCATTCTTATGGTATTTTGTGTTGGCTTTCTCTCTTAACTGCTGGATGAAGCAGATGCTACCTAGCCATGTTACCTGTACACAGGTAGCCTGAAAGACAGTACCTGTGTCCTCCTGGCTGCTATGTGTGACTCTCCAGGGACTGCAGGGCCCTGAGGGGAGGCAGTGAGTACAGCCTCTGATGCTTAGCTACTGGAAGTGTTTGTCAGACACCTCCGAGGGTGTTGGAGCACTTCTTTCTGGGCAATGTTCAAACAGCCTGGGGAGCTGGTATGGGGAGCAGGGAGCAGAGGGTGAGGGGAGGCACTGATACTTGCACTTGACTTACATGGCTGGCCAGGTGCTTCTGGTTCTTGGCATGCGTCAGGGACAAGGTGCTGGTTGGCAGGTTATAGCTGGTGGCTTTCACCTTATCCCAGGCCTCCTTGTATATGTTCTAGAAGGGTCAAAAATCTTGTGAATACAGGTACTTGAACTCTGGTTAGTTCCCACATCATGTTTTCCTGTGTCTCAGATGTGTTTTGCTTACCCCAGGGCATTTTTTAAAAGTGAGGTTTAATTGTGTAGTGAGAATTTATAGGTCAAATGGGAATTTGATGGCCCAGAAAAGAAATGGACTAATCTTTATTGGAAGGGGTTTATCCCTATTTAAAAAAAACTGTCTCTGAAGGGGAAAGGACAGTTTCTAGGTACGAGGAAAAAACAACTCACACTGCTATACAGACTCTTCAAGTTCTTGGTCCTGTCATAATCTGCAGTCTCCAGCACTGTGGTATACTTGTCCTTAATCTGATGATAATTTTCTTTATATTTCACCTATAGACAAAAAAGAAGGACTTCTGCATATCTGCTGGTGGAAGACTTCTAAAGACAAGAAGGGGGGTTGCCCTGCAAAAAGGACAAGGACATCATACCTCACTGGCATTGATGCCACTCTGAAGAGCAGTCACGTAAACTGGCGTATCTGTGACCAGGTTATAGTTCTGCAGATTGTCTTTACTTGCTGCTGTGTATTGTAGCTGTGAAGAAAAACACAAGTCACCCAAGATGGTAAAAAAGCAGAGTTAGCTGTTTGTACAACTTAACCATCTCTTTATTTCTGGCTTTCTGTTTTAATGTAAGAAGGAGGCTGCCACCATCCGGCAGTTCACAGATTTTTGTGTGGCAGCCAAAACAAGCAGCAGCTATCCTTGGTCAAGATCAAGGTCTGGATCTCTGTGAGGCGTCTTCCTTCATTTTGTTACCTTCTCCATGCCACCTTCCAGTCCTCACAGTAGCAGCCTGCTGTGCCAATAGTCCACCAGACCTGTCCAATCACAGCTCAACCACATGCTGGGACATGCCCCAGATAATGATTTTTTCCCTTCAAAACATATGTACCTGTTGTCAAAGCACACTTTACTTCTTATATCCTGCAAGATAACCTGGCCAAGATGGAGATGTTTATGAATAAGTTCACCATCCAACAACCCCTTCCTCTGTAACTTCCTGTTATAAATGTGTATGACCTTCAGTCACAGTATAGATTCATACCAGAGCAGGTCACCAAAAAGGGTTTGATTGGGGCCAATTATCTTAGATTATAAGTTACCTAAGAGCATACACCTTTATAGAAATCTCTCAGTCAGAGCTTTGAGACAGCCTGGCCGGCAGCCTGCTGATACTACCATGGACTATGATGACATCTGGATAGCTGGTCCTTACAGGCTCACCTGACTCTGGAGGTCATATGATTTCTTGGCATGGAGGATCTGGGGTGTATCCCAAACATAGCAGCCAATGCCTTTCAGCCAGTTCAAGTCGTCTTTATATACATTCTGTAACAAAGAAGATACATGGAAGGTGGCAGGTATTCAGAATTTACAGTTGATCATGTTGATGGTTTCTTATTGCTCCTTGACCTTCAACCAGATGAAAGCTAATTCCTGGTTGAAAGATGTCTCAGAGGGGAACAGTGCCTGAGTCTAGTCTTGAGCAGATTAAATATTCAATGGTCTATGTCTTAAAGGGGGATTCTTACATGAAGAGTAGTTATTCATGCTACTTAGTGTTGAAATTCTCTGGGTCTATGCAAAGGAGAAGTTGAACCATGGAAGGTTAAGTAGGGACAGGTGAAGCCTATAAGCTAAGTCAAACTGCAGAAAGGGCATCATACATCACTTAAGATCTCCTGGGCATTTCTGGCACGGATAACATTGGGCTCCTCCGGAAGCGACGTCCACTGGTGAAAGTAGTGTCGGTACTCCAGGTCGCTAAGGATGTATTGGCACCTTTTTGCCAACACGTGGTTCATCATGTCATTGGGGATATGCACATTTGCCTTTGTGTCCTCATAATCCCTTCTGTAGTTCAACTAAAAGTGTTTTTAAAGACAAAAATTATTAAGGGATTAAAACAAATTATTCAGACCAATTTATTTAGTCTCCAATGTACATCAGTACATAGAGAACAATGTTTAAAGTAGCATCAAAATCTTTGAAAATCCTCTTCTTATCCCTCTATAATGTAATGTCAATAGGATATTTCTTCCCCAATAGGACATTTCTTCCCCTTTTGCCAATTCAAAGGCCTTATTGTATGCTTGATTTAAAAAGGAGGGGGGACAATGTCTACAGCCATCAAGGGCTCACCTGTGAGGGTGCAGAAATCTGAAAGATGATCCTCCCCCTACCACTTTCTCCCCCAGCTAATCTTGAGTCACAGGGAGGGCTATACAGGGCAGACACAAGAGCGCACTGAAGTTGTATGCATCTACAGTAAGCAAGCACTGGCTTACCGCACTCCGCATCTGCTGGAAATCCAGGCAGTGGACCACTCCAGGGAACTCACTTATTTCTTTTCCAGCCAGGTAGTGGCCCTTCTGCTTCTCATAGGTTTCCTTATATTTAAGCTAAAAAATGGGTTCAACATTAAGAATTGATAGAGTTTTCTATCCAGCTTCTTGTTCCCCAACAAAGACTCTAATCTTAGGAGAGGAAACAGTTAAACTGACCTCACTGTTCACCAGGTCAGCATGCTTGGCTCCAACAATTGGAATGTAACGCTCATCCAGGGTGTAGCCATAGGCCTTGGTTCCCTCCCATGCTCCCTTGTACAGTATCTGGAACAAAGAAATGTGGTAACAGAAGTACATTCAACTGTATACTGATAGTGCCAAAACAATCACTATAGTTGGGGTAGAATATTATGTACAAGGCAAGGGTGAAAACTTTATCTGTTGTCATTAGAGTGCCTAACCTAGAACTGATTAAATATACAAATGGAAGCATTTTATAACAGTTAATTATATTTATACTTCTTGAAAAAAATGATGAGAAATTTGCACACAAGGAAAGACTCACCAAACATTCCACATAATACACCCTGCTCCTCTGAATTAGCTGAATTAAATTAGCAAGTGTAAGTCTTCCATTTGCTGGCTGGAACTGTGTGTAGAGGGTTGTTGAGGAGGGATGCATTTGCCTCCTTTTTTTTTTCTTTTGGTACCTTCTCCATCCTTTGTGCTGTGTCTCTAGAGCCCTGATAGCACTTGCTACACTATTATCTATTTATTTGTGTTACTATAAGCAATGAAGACAACTGGTCACCCTCCAAGTTCATCAGTTTACAAAACTAGTCAAGAATATAAATATTGACATGATCACAATTAGGAAATGAGTTACTACATAAAATAGGACTCACAGTACTATAGAGTTTCCCCATGTCTTTGGAGTGGGAGATGTATGGTGTGTCTGGAGAAAATATGTACTTGCCCTTTGCTTTATTAAATGTTTCTTTATATTTCACCTAGATAAGAGAAAAGTAAAGCCTTTTGGTTAGTCTAAACACATATTTAAGATTTCTTAAGACATATAATAATCTACATTTATATATAAAATAACTAACCAATTAGCTGAATTTCAGTTCATTTTAGCTAACTGGATATTCTGATAAAGAATACAGATATCTAAAAGTGGATGAGGTATATACTATTGCCAAAGATAATCTTATAATTTATCCCTCTCTCAATTTTTAGTTTTCAATTATCCAGAATTAAAACAATCAATAATTCACTTAGCTTTTCAGTGCAAGCACTTTAACACATACAATATGAACTTACATCACTTTGATTGACTGAGTTAATCTTGGCTAAAACAATCTCTGGAGGGTCCTCTACACTTGTAAAGTTGGGGTAGTTGGCAAGCGCATCTTTCTTGTATTTTATCTGAAATGAATAGAGACAATTAAGATAGTTCTGTCCCCACAGAGCGCCCATCCCTATGTGTCAGGTAAGAGAAGTAGGCATCAGGTTAAAAAGCCAACAGGCTCTGCATACCTGATTCACCATTTCCTGGTTCTTTGTAACCCTCACATGGTCCACAGAATCCAGAGGGATCCAGCCAATTCCTCGAAGCCACTCCAGGTCAGCTTTGTAGACATTCTGAAGGGAGAGGAGAGATAGAAGGGGCTGTTAGTGACACAGGATAACCACAAAGGTTTTCAGATAATCTTTTGGAAGATTAAGATGGATTTCTCTTTATCAGCTGTTGTCTTATTCATTCAGCCATGGCTTTGCCTGGCATTGTTTCTTGAGCCTGTGACTGCACAGGGCCCTGAGTTCAGTGCCTTAAGGAATGAGTATAAAGTGAAGTACAACTGGAGTTAAGAATAAGTTATTGCCAAAGAGGCTGCAGTTTTAGATAGACAGGGTATCTCACATTAGCTACCTGGACTTAAATGAAGGATTAGAGTATGGGAAGGCACCTTACCTAATCTGGACAAGGCTGTCTGTTCCCATTACTACCTTCTCTCCAACCCTAGCTCCTGGATTTGCCAGCCCTCCCTAGATAAAATGAAGAAGAATGACTGATTGGAGTAAAGTTGGGCACCAGTTGCATTGTAGCAACCAATGAGGCAGTCTTTCTTCCTATCTGGTAATGATGAAAAGACCTGCATTGAGTTATATCTCTGCATCTGAGATAGGACTCCATACATGTTTTAGTCCTCCCTTGGAGAGTGCTCACTTCAGGCTTCAGGGTGAGGTGGCCTGTGTCATATTATCTTCACTTGAGGAGTAAGACATCCATGGAAGTAGGAAGACTTTCCCTCACTCTTTGTCTATGATCGTGGCTACTAAAATCTCAGCTCAGTCTCCAGCATTAACTCCTTTCTAAGAATTTCCCTCACTCTTTGTCTATGATCGTGGCTACTAAAATCTCAGCTCAGTTTCCAGCATTAACTCCTTTCTAAGAATAAACTAAATGCTTATGGTCCAAAATGTCAAAGACGGGATGGTGCCTATCATTCTCATAGTGTATAGCATAGTCGATATAACAAGAAATGACAGTTACTTACGTCACTCTGAAGGTCATAGGCAATTTTTGCTTGAATAACATCATTTTGGTCTGGATGGCATGTCCATTGGTGTAGGTAATGACGGTAATCGATATCACTGACAAGGTTCTGCCCTTCCTTGGCAGCCACAACTGACACCATGTCAGCAGGTATATTGATTTTGGCCTTGGACTTGTGGTAGTTTTCCTTGTAGAGTCTGTCATTCTGAATCTGACCTGCGTGCTCAAACCAAACCAGCTTGGGATCGTCTCTCATTGTGGGAACACCAACATAGTGACCTTTCTGCTTAACATGTTCAGCTTTGTATTTCAGCTGGGGAGAGAGGTAGAATACAGAACCCATCAGCTTTGATAAGCACACAGCACAAAGCAGGCTTGAGGAAGAACAAGAAACAGCAACAACTTCACACCCTAGCTTTTTGTTGGACACTTCTATTCTGACATAAATACCACTGAAATAAACAAATAGCTAGTTTAGTCTTGTTATTGTTGCTTTTTCAGTTTCTTAGTTTACCAAGTAGAGGCTAGCTTTCATATAGAGTTGAAGTTGGCCTTGAACTCCTGATCCCCCTGCCTCCACCTCCTAAGTTCTGCAATTACAGGCTTGTGCAGTAAACACCTGGCTGAGATGGCCATTTTAAATAGGAAAAACCCCACATCCTTGTTCTCTAATTGTAGCAATTTCTTTATTTGGAAGCCTGCAGATTTTATAGAGGTCAGAAGATACAAGGAAAAACAAAACAGATAAACCCCAAACAAGCTCAAAACCCAAGTGAAAAGACCTCAAAGGGAGGGAGTATTTCAGCCTTCAGCAAGCACAGTCAGGCCTACCAAGCTGAGATGGAACATCCTCAAATTAACATCTGTATTTTACAACTGCGTCCCTTTCAGGCAAGTCTAAGCTCAAAACCCAAGTGAAAAGACCTCAAAGGGAGGGAGTATTTCAGCCCTCAGCAAGCACAGTCAGGCCTACCAAGCTGAGATGGAGCATCCTCAAATTAACATCTGTATTTTACAACTGTGTCCCTTTCAGGCAAGTCCAGTTTCTGCAGGGTACTGTCACATTGGGATAAATTACCTCACTCTGAACATCACTGGAGTGATGGGCATGAACAAACGGCACAGCATCTGGTGGCAGAATGTAACCCGTGGCTTTCTGTTTCTCCCAGCCTTCCTTGTAGAGGTACTAAAAGACAAAGAACCACAATAGGGGTTAAATGAGAAGATCAGAAGAAGATGAGGTCATGTATGTAAATCTCTTACAGACCTATTATGGTTTGTCCATCTCCAAGCACTAGGCATCTGCAAAAAAATCCTTACCTGGTCTAGGATCCGGGCAGCTTCCTGAGCAGTGTGTAGCAGTGGGGTTTCTGTAAGGGTATACTTTGACTTGATGGCATTCCAATCTTTCCGATATTTAATCTAAAAGTGAGAAGCATCAGGGAAAATTACTGGAGGTTAAGAAATCTCTCTGTTGCCTAAGCATTGCTAATATCGATAATTTGGAGATGAAATTATAGTTCAATGATTGTAAGGGGCAGGAAAGTTTTGGCAACAGTCTTCGCATGGCTGTTTGATTTTACAACAGTGCATACTTACATCATCTCGGATCTCAGTACTTTGTTTGGCTGTCACATAATCCACTCTGTCATCCACAGGCGTAAAGTTGAGAGATTCTATTTTTGTGCGATATTTTTTCTATGAAGAAAAGAGAAATATGTCAGCCACAGTCCCTGAACGTGTGAGCTGAGAGACATTAAATTAAGTGTCCTTCTTTGTTAGAGGAATACAGTACCATCACTGAATGGCATTTTCTTGGAAATTTAGCATTATATTTTTTTAAACAACCAAGTTGTTATATTACCTACAATTTTTCAATATTGGGGACAGGGCCTTATAGATTGTAAAGTAGAAAGATTGCTCACCTCCTAAAGTCTTATCATTACTTGTATCACAATATTCAATTTTTCCAGTTGAACAAACGTCCCCCAGTAAATTGAAATTGTTGACAAAAGAAATTTTCCACTTGTGGCTATCCCATGCATCAGTGAGTATGTTGGATGCTGGTAGAGTCCCAAAGTATGATAACAGTGCATTTTGGAAAATGTCTGGCTTCAATCTCAGCAATGAAAAATAGTTAAAATGTTGACCTAAGGTAATTGTATTTTGGCTCATGTCTTTTGCTCATTTTCTAAGGAAATGTGTACACTGTCTGGGCAAAGTCTTGGAGTACCTCACTGAAGATATCTGCAGCATGTTTGGCATGATTGACCGAGACAGAATCATTTGGCATCCACCCAATTCCACGCAACCATTCCAAGTCAGCTTTATAAACAGCCTGTGAAAAGAAGGCCAGAATTATTCCTGGAGCCTGTTGACCAGTGTGATGAGGAAACACAATGTAAACAGTGCCAAAGCCATGGGAGAGGTACTCAAGCATCCAGGCCAGGCAGTTACAGCTGGAGGGCATTTTTTCTATTTAATATGAATTTACCTCAACTCAGCTGCAGTTACAGTTGCCAAGTGGCAGTACCTGTATAGAGCTGTATGTTCAGAATTTCCAAGAGAAACAGGAAGTCTTAGACTTGCAAAAAATTTCTGATTTGAAATTTTTAAATTTCTGATTTAAGATCTCTTAAACAACCGTGTCAATTGAAAAAGTATCTGTGCCTAGATCCTGTGTATGAACTACCAATAGTTTATTTATACAAAACTTGATTGTTATCTAAATGCTATAGACAATAATTTTCCATAGTAATTCATCATCATCTCCTTCCTCTCTGCAGCAGGATCTAACTATGTAGCCTTTGCCCTGGCCTGGATCTCTCTAGGTATGGTGGCCTTAAATTTGTAGCAATCCTCTTGCCTCTGACTCCTAAGTGTTGGGATTATAGATGTGTACTACCATATACTTGTTTTCCCTGATTTCCCTAGCCCTTCCATCAAGACCTACACTCATTATACTGCCACTTATTTCTTCACATGAAGTTTAGAGTCTTCCTGGCTTTGCTGATCTGATACCATACTGAAAGTCCTAACTACTATCAAACTCTTAGCCATGTAAAGACATATAATTGTGACAAAGGTATGTAATGTCATGAACTTTCTGGGAGTCACACTCACATCGCTCTGCAGCTCGTAGGCTTTCTTGGCCTGGATCACATCGTTCTGATCTGGCATGCATGTCCACTCATGTAGGTAATTGCGATAATCAATGTCGCTGACCAGTGTCTGGCATTTTTTAGAATGCAGGATAGAAAGCATGTCCACGGGGCTTTGGAACTTGGTCTTCCATTTGGCCCACTGTAGCCTGTACTCCCGTTCATTCTGAATCTTGCCAGCGATGAGAGCCCACCGGATCTTGTTGTCATCCCTGGCTGTGAGTGTGCCCACGTAATGTCCCTTCTGCTTCTCATGGTCAAGTTTGTATTTATACTGGATATAAAAAAGCAGAGCAGATGGGTCACAGTAGGCCCTCTGATGCATACAGAGAATTTGCTGGACAAAAACCCTGAAGGTATAAAAGGCCCACTTACATCACTAGCAATCTCCCTGGAGGCCTTGGCAGCCTGGATAGGGATGGCATCCAGCCGGACATCACAGCTCATCTTGACCTCATCCCACCCCTCACGGTAGAGTTTCTGAAGAGGAGAAAAGGTACAAGAGGTTAATTTTTTTTTTTAATGTATATCAGTATTCTGGAACATGAAGTAGCATTTAGAGTCAAAGATTTGGAGCCAATGGGACTTCTTTCTTGCTCACTCTAATCACAGCCTCCATTTGGTTGTCCAAGGCCTGTTTCAATTTCCCTTTCTTAGAGTCAGTGTATAGATAGCATTGGGACAAGGTAGATGCTAATAGGCTGTTATTAAGTCTCTTCAGCTCAACTTTGCTAGTTTTACAATGACAGATGTTTTACATTTTTGAGTTTTCCTCTTTCCAATATAGCTTTTTCACTCTTTTAGGCCTGATAGTGCATATTGTTCAAGAACATCAGAACTGATAAAGTATAGTTGGATGTGATAGCTGTCTTTTTATGACAGATGTTTTACATTTTTGAGTTTTCCTCTTTCCAATATAGCTTTTTTACTCTTTTAGGCCTGATAGTGCATATTGTTCAAGAACATCAGAACTTCTGATAAAGTATAGTTGGATGTGATAGCTGTCTTTTTGTTGTTAAAAATAGTGAAACAAAGTAGTAATTTTCCCCCAAAGGGCTTTATTTTCTATTTGAAAGTCAGATGAATGGAGCTATCATAAATGATTACAACAAAGGACGGCTCAGAGCCATCACATGTTTCTTTGCTTTGCTAGAGGATGTTTTATGTCAAAAATGATGGCATTTGGCTAGTAAGTGCCTGAGACATGTATGTATCACATATATTTAAATGGCTACATCCTGTATTGACTATGGTAGACTCAGAAATAGCAGTAATTTAAACACATAATTTAAAAATCTCACCAATAAGCATAGGAACTCTGTGATAGTGTCATAACTATTGGTAGTGTCATAATTTTGGCATATCTAAAAATGAGTCCTTAGGTGAATTTTATACTTGTAACTATGGTTAATTGTTTGTTGAATTTTCATTTAAGATTATTTGTGTGTGAATTTGGGTGAGGTTATATATATATTTTAAACTTTGGATGGGCCTAGTTTAACAACTGACTTTCTTTCTATAGAAAGAAAAAAGTATGTTCCATATTTAAATATATTATTCTAGAGCATACTCATATAAACAAGTCACCATATTATTTTTAATCTTACTTTTGTCTTTAGTTTTTCTTATTATCACATAACATTTTTTATTCTTTTTGTTTGTTTTTATTTTTTTCAAGACGGGATTTCTATGTGTGTATCCCTGGTTGTCCTGGAAATCACTCTGTAGACCAGGCTGGCCTCCAACTCACAGAGCTCCAACTCACAGAGCTCCACCTGCCTCTGCCTTCTTTCTTATTTATGTGATCAAATAACATTTCTTTCAGTGAACTGAAACAAACAAACAAACAAACAAAAACCAGGGCACAAGATCCAAGTTTTCATCTAATAACTTTGACAATGTGGACAAATTCCCAAACTTGTAACACTTCCAACTTCCCTCTCTAACTAAAGAAGAAAAAAAAA